CTACCTCTGAGCTACCTTCCCAGCCCTAGGGACAGAATATATGGTCCTTTGCTGTCCTCTTGAGAACTGGCCAAAAAAAAGAAAAACATGAGCTGGTAGCTGGTGAAGTTAGGTAAAGCAGGAATCAGAGGCTTAGTGGATTCACAGGCCTAAGCAGAAATCAGATTACAAGGGTTTTGGGGTTTGATTTGGTTTTTCTGGTCAGTTGTGGGGCTTGAATTCTGAGCCTGAGCACTGTCCCTCAGCTCTTCAGCTCAAGGCGAGTGCTCTACCACTTGAGCCACAGCACCACTTCCAGTTTTCTGGTGGTTCAGTGGACTTAAGAGTCTCACGGACTTTCCTGCCCAAGCTGGCTTCGAACTGTGATCCTCAGATCTCAGCCTCCTGAGTAGCTAGGATGATAGGCGTGAGCCGCTGGTGCCCTGCTTGTTAACTAGTTCCTTTCTCTACCAACTGACCTTGGAGACCGAGGCTGGATTCTTGCAAACAAGCCAGCAGGCCAAAACTAGGACAAGTAGCTATAAACACACAGCCCAACATAGCTACCCTCCGGTCTGAGCTCAGCGAATAAGGCCTGTGTATAGTCCCGTTCTTCTCCCCTTACTTGCGATAATCTCGGACGCAGTAAATCTTGTTCTCCGAGTCCACAGTGAAAGGCACTCCATCCAAACACTCGTTACAGATGACGCATCGGAAACAGCCCGGGTGATAGGACTTTCCCAGGGCCTGCAGGATCTAGGGGGACACAGAGAAGGAGACACGGATGGCATGAGCCATCCATTAAAATGATCTCCACAGGGCACCGGTGGTTCACGCCTGTCATCCTAGCTACTCAGGAGGCTGAAATCTAAGGATCATGGTTCCAATCCAGCCCGGGCAACAAAGTCCATGAAACTCTTATCTCCCATGAACCACCAGAAAACCGGAAATGGCGCTGTGGCTCAAGTGGTAGAGTGCTCACCTTGAGCTGAAGAGCTGCGGGACAGCGCCCAGGCCCAGAGTTCAAGCCCCACGACTGACAGGAATAAATAAGTAACTAAATAATCTCCATTTTAATTCCCTTTCTCCCCTGAATACTTCCTCCTGCTACTACAACATGCCACAATCCCTACTTACCATGTCCAAAATCAGATGGCCACACAGGAAGCACCGGTCAGCAGACTGCTGAAAGCCAGAGTACTGGAGGGGAAGGGAAAAAAGAGAGTTAAACCCTGGCTGGCAGATGGACCTGCCACGTCTTCAGCAGTCAAACAGATCTGCAAGCACCTTCTAATCAAACCGTGTCGCTCTGTGTAGAAATCTGCCACAAGGACCACAAAAGCTATTAACATCCCATATGCTCACCCCACCATTTGTGTCTGGGTCCCCACAACTATGCTATAGTTGCCTGGCTCTTCAGGAGGCTGAGAATCTTAAGGATCGTGGTTCAAAGCCAGCCCATGTTGTTGTTGGTCATGGGGCTTGAACTCTGGGCCTGGGGGCTGTCCCTCAGGTCTTCGGCTTAAAGTGAGCGCTCTGTCACTTACGCCACAGCGCCACTTCCGGTTTTCCAGGGGTTTATTGGAGATAAGAGTCTCAGGGACTTTCCTGTCTGGGCTGGCTTTGAACCGTGATCGTCAGATCTCAGCCTCCTGAGGAGCTAGGATGACAGGCGGGAGCCACTGGCACCCAGCTCCATGAGATTCTTAACACCAATAAACCACTCTAAAGCTGGAAATGGAGTTATGGCTCAAAGTGGTAGAGTGCTAGCCTTGAGAGAAAAAAAAAAAAGTTTCAGGAAAGCAACCAAGCCCTGAGTTCAAGCCCCATGACCAACAACAAAAAAGCTGTAATCTCTTTGGTTTTCACAAGGAAGGGGTTTCCTTGGATCACTTGGGAAACCATACAAATAAACATAAAAATACAAAATAAATGGCAAATTCTTGCTGGGTACTGATAGCTCACCCCGGTAATCCCAGTTACCCCAGAGGCTGAGATCAGGGAATCAAAGCCAGCCCGGGCAGGAAAGTCCAATGAGACTGTTACTTCCAATGAAGTACCAAAAGGCTGTCACTCATAGAGCTCTAGCCTTCAGAGAAAGAGTTAAAGTAGGAAGGCCTGTGTCTGTCACATGCATGCGTGTACACGCACATGCGTCACACTAGTAGGGATATACCAAGCCATCCTCCAGTCCCTTCCACACAGTGTTCCTGTTTGTCTTTTGCCTAAATGTCTCTAGGCCATCAACGCCCCCCATCTGTCCCCCCCAACACAGCTGGCAACTCACCAAGAAATCTTCCTCACAAAACACCTTGCCGTTCACAAAATAGAAGGCTTTTCCTCTCAGCTTCCGGCCTAAGGGAGGAAAACAAAAGAAGAAAAAGCAGGGTGAAGGAAGGTGGTCAGATTTGGGGAGAGAGAGAAAACAGGAAATGGACTGTGGTATAGCTCAAAGGATGGAGTACTTGCCTAGCAATCATGAGGTCATGAAATCAAGTCCCGGAACCAAAAATAAACAAAGCAATACCTCTGTGAAAATTTATGCTTCAGAACTATCCAGAAGGATTTTTGCTACTGGTAGGATTTAGTGTTGTCTGTCTGTCTCAAGATTACAAAATGGTAATTCAAGCTGGGCACTGGTGGCTCACGCCTGTAATCCTAGCTACTCAGGAGGCTGAGATCTGAGGATCGCGGTTCAAAGCTAACCCGGGCAGGAGAGACCGTGAGACTCCTATCTCCAATAAACCACCAGAAAACCGGAAGTGGCGCTGTAGCTCAAGTGGTAGAGCGCTCGCCTT